CCCGCCATGGTCAAAATGTAAAGAAAAAAATTAAAGTGTGGTCAGTTAAAGGGTGCGATCTCACACCATTCCTGCCTAAGCCTGATAATATTGCAAGATTCTGCATGCTAATGTTAGCCAACAAGAATGATTTATAAGTCTAACTTCTAAAAAGGCCAAATCATCTATGTTCCCTGTGATTATACTCCAACAGATACGATAAGGATAGTATTGATCAGTCAATAAGACATAAATGATTTTATTGCCTAGTATGACAAATTTTGTATATGGAACTAGCCTTAACTTAGCAGCACCTCGTTTGGAAACATTGCCATTTAGCTGTGAACCAACCATTACAGAATATTTATCTTACCCTTTGGTTATTCCATCAATTTTCATAAAATTATGCCTTAAAGGTTTTAAACTCATTTAGATGCAAAATGCAAATATCCCACTGTAATTGAACTCCTAGAAAAACTAAATTAATGAAACTATGTGAATGGCCATTAATATTGGTTCCATCTGCCTTTACTAAGTTCAGTCTTGCTTGGAGCTCTGTTCCCTGTAGTGTTTTGAATATTCTATGCGCTACATCTGTTCCATTGGCACTTTTTGGTGTGATGGAATCAAGGTAAAAGTCACCTAAAAAAGAAATTTCTGAAAACATAGATACGTATTTTATGTATCTATGTTTTTAGAAATTTAAGTTATCTATATTTATATGTTTTATAAATATAGATAACTTGGTTTTCATAATTTATAGATGCTTGATTGGCATCTCTTTTCTTTTTGTCAAAGTTCAAAAATTTATAAAAATTTTCAATGTTTTTGCTGAGTTTTTTTAAATTCTAATGACAGATATTGGATAAATATTATAATTTACCCATGAATAGTTCTACACTAACATCTCTATAAACACTGTCTTTTCTATAGTCTTTAAAGTAAAGAAATCTTTAAATCTTTGGAAAGTTTTCCAAATGGAAATTGTTTTAACAGTTTAAAGCATTCATCCAAAATGTATTTATTTGATTTATTTGCTTTTTTACTTGTTGATATCTTGACGATATTTATTTGAAAAAGAACCAAATAGATATTAATTTTGTCAGTTATTGAAAGAAGTCTATTTGTTTTGAGCTTTTTGTAAATTACTTTAACAATTAGATGTTACAAAAAAATGTTTAAAATTGTTTAAAAAAATGTTTAAAAACAAAAATTGTTTAAAATTAAATTCTGCACTTTTGAGCATAAAACTTATACACATGAAACAAATAATAGGCACTTTATAATGAATATATATTATATATATATATATATATATATATATATATATATATATATATATATATATATATATATATATATATATATATATATATATTACCTTATTTAAAAAAATTGATATGCTACAAAAAAGTTTTAATTGTTGATTTGTTATAAAGTTTTTATTTTACGCAAAGGCTTAAAATCAAATAAAAAATTATTTATAGTGAATGTTTAAAATAAATCCATTTTGTGTAAATTAACATATAATGTTATATTTAAATTTTTTTTTATGTAGGCATGTATTTTTTATGATAAATCTAATTGTTTGGAACTATTTTTGCATGTCTTTCTAAAAATCATATAAAAATTTATAATGAATATCATATAAAAAATCATATAAAAATTTAATCATATAATCATATAAAAATTTATAATGAATATATATATATATATATATATATATATATATATATATATATATATATATATATATATATATATATATATATATATATATATATATATATATATAGTTGACCAGTTGGATAAAAACGATTTTATGCTGAAAAAATTTTTTAATCCCATTTTTGAGGTCCCCGCTTTTACAATTTGTGCCCTGAAACCCCCACTTTTTAAAAAAAAAGCTTTATATATTGAAATAAAACACCATTTTTTTTTTATAAACTTTAAAAAGCCTAAATATTTATTTGGAATTGGTTGGAAAGATAAGTTTTAAAAAAAGCATATTGTTTTGACCCTTGAAAAATGGGCTAAACACTCTAATTTTAGGTAATTTTATTGATATATCAATTGCCCAATTTTTTTATCTCTCCAACTTTCCATGACAAATTTTATCAAACTCTTGTTTACAAAGATTAATTTAAAGCAAAAATTCAATTTTAAAAATAAATTCAAATACAGGGATCCCCTATAGGAGGGCTAGACGTGTGAGGCAGAGGGTTTGTTTCATCCTTTTTTAGTTTAAGACCTTTTCAGAATAATTGGATTTTCGGACTTGTCATAGTGTGTAGTAACAGGTGAGAAAAGAACTTTAGCAACCTTTGCCTTCTCATCATTTTTGAGTTCTTTATCTGCAATACATAATTGAATCAACATTTAATCCAAATTCTTTTTGAACTTTAATTTATCCATAGCTTCATTTATTGTGTTCCAATAAGTTTGGAAAACTTTGAACACCAGATTTTCAGGAGAGTAAGTTTTACCAAACTTGAACTTATTTCCAAAAATGTTTACAGTGAAGCCCATAAAAATGTCTTCAGCATGCAAGCTGTAATATAATTGAACCCTGTGTTTGACAGAACCAAATGTTAGCGCCAGAAAATTTTCCTGCATTAGTTGCAATTGTTCTAAATGCACAAACCCTTTATATAAGTTCTTAGCTTATATTCTTCCAAAATGTTTACTAAAGTTAAAGTAAAGTATGATGAGATTTTCCAGTACTGTGTTTCATTGGCGGAATGCCAAAAAGATTTTAATCACCATCAATATTAACAAGAACAGCAAAGTGATCTCTTTTTTGTTTTGTACCGTTAGTAATATCCTGCAAAATTTGGAAATTTACTTTGCCTTGCAGTTTTTATTATATTTTTTCAATATTTAT